GAAGGAAAAGTACACAGAAATGGAAGGTTTGACCATGGAGGGAGAAAAGGTACAGGGAGTTTCTCAAAATAAACACAGAACAGAAATGAATTGTCTGGTTTGTACGTTGCAATAAAGAATTGAGAAAGCTAAGGCATAAGTCAGAAGAAGACTCATGTTTGGAGATAGACTTACAAATTATAAATCTAAAAAAGACTGTATCTGAGTTCCCTATTTTATAAAAATGACATCCTTTAGATCTAAAAGAATTAAAATATAATTCAAATATCATATCGGACTCAATCAGCTCCTCCCCTTATCTGTAAGTAGTTACTACTTACAGATAAGGGGGGGGGAGCTGATTGAATCAGATACCTAATACTCTAATGAACAATTTGAATATTACAGATTATGTCACTAATGGATATAACAATAAGCCTCTAAAAAGTTATTTCTACTTCTATTTCCCCCCACCTACAAAAAAAATAAAAAAAATAAAAAATCCCAAACAAGCAATTGTCTGCAAAATGCCATTAAGTTTTTTTCACAGTTAAGTTTGGATACAGTGGCAGACATAAAGATGCTACAGATGGAAAGCAATGAAAACCTGATGAAGGAATCCTTTTGTTTTCCCAAAGGTCTAGAGGTAGATTCCTCCAGTAATATACAGATACAGATAGTCCTCAACTTAAGACCACAATTGAGCCCAAACGTTTGGTTGCTAAGTGGGACATTTAAGTGAATTTTGCCCCATTTTATTACTTTTCTTGCCACAGTTATTGTGAATCACCGCAGTTGTTAAATTAGTAACACAATTGCTAAGTGAATCTGGCTTGCTTGTTGGCTTTGTTTGTCAGAGGTTTGCAAAAGATGTTGACCCCAAGACATGGAAATCATCATAAATATGTGTCAATTGCCAAGCACCTGAATTTTAATCATGTGACCCTCAGAAATGCAACAATAGTCATAAGTGTGAAAAACAGTCATAAATCACTTTTTTCAGTGCTGTTGTAACTGAATGGTCACTAAATGAACCTGTAAATATGTACCAATAGATTCTCAAGAAACTATGTTAATGATTTGGCTTGTAAGCAAAAGTATCTATAAAAATTTAATTTCCGAAATGGGTGGAAAATGGTCCATGGGAAAAAAAGGAAAATTTCCTTCCTCTTAATACGTCACTGCTTATATGGCTCATTCCACAAGTAACAGAGGAATGATGCACAAGTGCTAACACTTTGCCTGTTTCTAGAACATAGTATTTTATCCTTAAAATATTTAATATATAACAATAAAGCTTTTTTTAGATACAGCAAAATTCTTTTCACCATCTTTCACCAGATTCAACTCCCATAATTTCCAGCCAAGCAACTGATTTCACTTCACATTTACAGACTGGTGAAAATTATTGAAGTTAAAATTTGATGGGTTGAGAAAATATGCAGTAAACTTTTCTCTAAGTTTAGGCATTAGTAAATTGACCATTTTTGCCAATACTCTTATGACCCAAATGGGCAGAATGTAAGCAAATGGGTTGATATCATTTTGAAAGCTTTGGGTAAATCAAGCATGAAGAAGGAGAGATTCAACCAAAATAAAATATGAGATGATGAAAGATTGTTCTGAATTTTAAAGTGGACATTTGAACTCAATTTTGACCAGTTGCAATCAATAATAAATTATTGGAAGCTAAAATTCCAGAGTTCTCTGAAAAAAGGTACAATTTTCCATAAGAAACTTCAGAAAGAGGGGAAAGGAGACAGAACAAAAAAAAATTACTTATCGCTAATAAGCTATTTGTTAGAAAACAACTTACAGGATTGGAAAGCTCTAGGAAGAGTTATCCCTATTTACATGGTTGCAAAGAGAAATGGAGCAACACCAAAGAAAAACATTCCAAATGTTCTTGCTCCACCACATATACATGCTAATTGACTCATCAGCCTACACCATATTATTATGTGACTGATTTTGAAGCTAATTAGGAACCCAGCATTATAAGTTACTCAACAAACTATTAAACCTTAGTATGATGTGTGAACCAGTCAGTCTGAGTTTACCAGTGAGCTAAACCATAATATGGATGATTTAGTTGGGACTTTGTAAATCATACTTATGGAAGAGATACATAATCTAATACTCCAGATGTCAGCTTCTGCTTTGCTGTTGCTTCAGCTGCCATTGAAACGGGGAGGGAGGGCATGGTATTTTGGGTGGGGTTACTCGTTGTGCTGGAGGAATGTTCTGGAGGTCTTTGGATGGACAGACTACGCATGCGTGGGGGTTTCCCACCTGGACTAACGGCACCGACATTCCATCTTCGTGATGTCTTTTGAAGTTA